TTAAGGATATCTAGAAGAACTCTAAGATATACCTCCTTGACCAATTCATATTTCGGGGTTAAAACGTACGTACGGGATCCAGAACGGATATCACCCACCCGACAGTTCACTGTTCGGTTGGTACGTAATCCACATGACTCATAGGGTGGATTATCGATTCTTGTGTTCTGCATTAAACTATTTATAGTTTAAGGGCCTGGTTAGAAATATTGCCTTAGACTAGGGATAGCTAAGAGCTTGTATAAAAATGATTTGGCCTTAGATTAAGAATAATTTAAGAGCACTGATGAAATATTTAATATTGAATATATCATGAAATGACTTAAAATAAAATATTGTGAATATCATGAATAATGTATGCTTGAAATATGTACTGTGTGCATGATATCAAATGGTTAATTATGAATTGAGATTCAATTTATATGGATGTTCGATGCATTAGATATGCTTACTCAGCTTCAACGCTGAGCGTGTAGTATGTTTTATTTGCTACACGCAGGTAGACAGAATGAGTGAATGGCATGTTCTTGGCAGCGGAAGGGGCGAGACAGTCGTGGTGGATTTATTAAGAAAATAAATGATTCTGTTATTATGAACCATGTTTAAAAATCGCTTCCGCATTAAACACTCCGTATTTACTACAATTATGTTTGTAATTTCATTTATGATGAATAAAGTTATTTGAAATGTTTTAAATTATACGATTACCAAGTTAATACTTTAGTTCGGAAGGGGTTGTAAACCTGGACGGATTAGGGTGTTACAGTTCGTCCTCCACCCTTGCTTTCCCATTGGGCTTGGTCACCTTCTTCTTTTGGGTCCGCCTTATCTTCTTTTTCTTCTTTCCTCCTGAGTCCGCAGGTCTAGCCTTCCCGCCTGCGGGTTCTCCGATCGTGTCTTCCACCACAATCTCGCGGTTGGGTGTTAGAGCCACCAACACCTCCTTGAATTTCTCAGTCGTGATTACCACCCTCTGGATGAGGGCCTCCACCTCCGTCACGTTGATAGGAGGGTGCCGGCCTCCGGTGGCGCTGTTCTCGCCCTGATGGGGAACTCCGGTACCTATGTTTGCATTATTGCGAGTCTGCACCATTGTCTCTTTAGAAGGTTTTCCCTGAGTATAATTCTCAAGCTCTCAATGAAAGCACCAATTTGATGGACAATAAGTCCACCAAATGATCCGATTCAGAAGAACGGATCGTAAGAAATAAAAATAAAAATGAGAACTCCAGAATGATGTGTGTGTATTATTAGCTTGATTTAGCTTCACCCTTTTCCCTTTCGGGTCCCCTCTATTTATACATGGATTCTTGATAATTAAGGTAATTCATAATCAAAGGAGTCCATCCCATTGATGGCGCGATCCCTTTTCTCCAGCTTCATCTTCGTTCTTCAGCGGAGTCTCCTCCCCTGGACTGGCTCTGCCAACTGTCTTGGGTTGAAGTAGACCGGGCCTCGCAGTATGGGCCGGCCCATGTCCAAGTATTTTCTGTGCGCTTGACCCGGAGTCTGTTGGATGACCCATTTGGGCCGCCCGCTGGATATCGGCCCATCAGTATCAAAATATGACTTTCATATTTTTTCCCGAAATAAGACTTCGCACTGTGGTAATGTGGCATTGTACACGTGCACATTACATACACTTTTTGGTAATGTACATGACCAGATTTGGTAATGTAAATGCATTTTAAATCATATTTCGGGAATAAAAACATGGAAGTCCTATTTTGGTATATTTTCAATTTTTTAGTCCTACTTTGGTCTTTCTCTCAAAAACTAGAGTAAGAGTAAAAGATAAAAAAATATACCAAAATAGAAATTTCATGTTTTATTCCTAAAATATGAATTAAAATGCATATACAATGTCTATTTATCTAGCTAAATTATTTTAATATAAACTCGACTTTTCTCAATTTTAATTGTATGCAATACAAAGAAATAAAATTTTTGGAAAAAAATTAGAGAAGTAAAATATAGAAACTCTATCAAAATACAAGTTCCATGTTTTGATTTTTAAAATGCGAGTTAAAATGCATTGATAATATATACCAATCATGCCAATATATAATACCAAAAAGTATTGTGTAGTGTGTCTACATATATATATATATATATATATATATATATATATATATATATATATATATATATATATATATATATATATATATAGTGCTATATTATCCAATACAAACTCCTATTTTAGAGATAAAAACATGAAGTTTCTGTTAAGGTACATTCTCTATATTTTACTCCTATTTTATTTTTTTAAATTTTAGAAATTTTTCACAAGATAAATCTAATTAATTGTTTTTCTACAAATATAAAATGTCCTTTTTTAAATTAAGTTTTAAAGTTTGTCCAGTTTGTTTAGATCAAAATATCAAATTTGACAAATATACTGAGATGAAATTAATATTTTTATTCTTAAAAGGAATATTAAGTCAGTTCATATTTTTCGATACAAATTTTTATCATATAGTTTCACATGTTTTAAACATTACTATTGTATGAAAATCAAATTTGAAATACGAGCCGACTATGGAAGTAAATACTTTCCTTCTTTTTTTAGCGGTACTTTTCTTCTTTTAATTTTTTGAAAATTAAATAAGGCATTGTTGGGAAACATGGAAAATAGCTTTCGGAAAATGACTTTTGGAAAATGAGTTATTTTCACTCATTTTTTTCTGTTATTTGGCTAAAAATCAGAAAATTAGGTGTATATGTTTGGCTAATTTTGGGGAAATGAATTGAAAATCCAAAGCAAGAAAAGAAAAGCCCAGTCAAAGAAGATGTTGGGTGTACGAAGCTGAAAAAAAGAAGTATAATTTGCAAACAGTCTTTGTAGAAATAGGATTTCGAAAAAATTGGAAGAACTTAGAATACGTTGAAAGAATTAAAGTGTTAAAAAGTCATTCAGTTAAGTGATCACCCAAATAAATTTGTAAGAAAGCTCTAATTTTGGATAAAAAAGAATTCAACAATCTCTGTATTTGCAGTGCTATGTTATAAATTTTGATATATAATGATCTTGTATGTTCATCATTGATGGTGTAAATTACCACGCAAATACTAAGTAAAAGTAATCGGAAGGGTTGTAGATGGAAACACCTGTAACCCGATTTGTTATTAATGATAGTAGGAGTTATTACAAATACAAGCCGTGCAGGTTAATTAAAGCATGCCTCACAAATGAGGCTTTTAGGGGTATTTATAATAAAAACAAGCACGTCCCGAAATTCCTGTTCTTCCAGACGGTCAGTCTTCAAGCCATCCAGTCTTCAGGTCATCCACCTGGGCAGTCTTCAGGTCATCCACCCGGGCAGTCTTCAGGTCATCCACCCGGGCAGTCTTCAGGTCATCCACCCAGGCAGTCTTCAGGTCATCCACCCAGGCAGCCTTCGGGTCATCCACCCGGGCAGTCTTCAAGCCATCCACCCGGGCAGATTAACGGGGACGGTGAGGTCAAGCCTGGTCAGACTTTAAGCCTTATGCGAATGTAGTAACGATCTCACATGTCTGACCCCCAACATCCACCCAGTCAGTCTACCGGGGTTGGTGAGGTCATGTGGGGTCAGAATTTGGTACCCTCGGGCGCTTGTGAACTTGTCGGGTGGTACTAGTGGATTATATCCATCAAGGAGTCCTCCGATTCTCGGCTTTGTAGGCACCATCAAGGGCGGGAATCAAATGTCTGAATAATTTTTAATTTTTTGAATCCTCGGGAATGGTTAGCGGAAAAGTTTTTACGGAAATTTTGTACACCGCCGCCTAGTCATCATGTCGTTTCCTCTTCCCGGATCAGGCAGGAGTGGGCCACCCGGCTGGTCAGATGCTCTGACAGATGAGAAGCTCTAGATGAAGGCCGGGCAGACGGGTCAGCTGGAGGTGGAGAATGCCCAGCTAAAGGCTGAGCTGGAGAGGGAGCCCTCCGACCAGGCTGTTCACGCCACTACTTGGGCTGCGCAGAAACCGGAGAAGTTTGCTGCCTGGGCACTCCGGTTCTTCCAAGTGTCTCAGCAACTGATTGATGACATTGGGATCTTTGGGTTTCGGACCAGTCCGTACCAAAAGCACCGTGGGCTGTACGGGATCTTAAGCAACCGGCTGCAGGATTTTGACCCGGTCGTTCGAACTCACAATCTCTTTGGTCACGATCAAGCTGTATCTACCCGGTCTAACGCATCTCACCATTCTTTCTACCCGAGTAGGAAATAAGCCACCCGGGTGGGTTTTGACAGGAATTGCCCGGGCTATGCTTCAAAGTTGATCATGTGAGTCATTTCTTCCTTCACCCGGGTGAATAAGAGCTCTAGTCCTCCGAGTGAGCAAGGCAATCAATACTTTCCATTCAAGGCCTCAGCCATGCAAACGGGGGAACATTTTCTTGAAAAAGTCCTCCGAGTCAAGTTAAGCGAATCCATCGTGACCCCGTCACTCACCCGAGTCTGAATCTTGATCGGGTGGGCAGTTTTGTTTTTTTATTTATCTTGGGTAGGTTGGTTCACCCTGACTTTGCCCAAGTGAAAAGTCTTCAGGGAAAGATATCGAAGATCGGGGTAAGCCCGATGTTCCCAGTCCGACCGGGCTCTTTTTTTTTTTGCTGAAACCGATGTGCAACCGGTGTACCCAATTCGATTGGGCTCAGACTTGTTAGAAAATATGTGCAATACTGGTGTGAGACCAGTGTACCAGTTCAACTAGATCATATATTTTCTTTATTTTTTTATTTATACTGCACAAGACCGGTGTGAGACCAGTGTACAAGTTCGACTGGGTCGCAATTTTTTTTTAATATGTGCAAGACTGGTGTGAGACCAGCGTACCAGGCCGGGCCTGTGTCACATTTTTTTTGAGTTCAATTCGATTGAACATTGACCGGGCGGACGGGTTTGCAACCTTCCCCGACCGGTCATACCATCTTTTCTGAAAAAGTATGGTGTTCCGCCCGGGTAGTTTTGTAATGCTCAATTCGATTGAATACTGACCGGGCAGAGGATCTTCCCCGACCAGTCTTACCATCTTTTCTGAAAAAAAGTATGGTGTTTCGCCCGGGTAGTTTTGTAATGCTCAATTCGATTGAACACTGACCGGGCAGATGGGTCTGCAACCTTCCCCGACCGGTCTTACCATCTTTTCTGAAAAAAGTATGGTGTTCCGCCAAGGCAGTTTTGTAATGCTCAATTCGATTGAACACTGACCGGGCAGATGGGTCTGCAACCTTCCCCGACCGGTCTTACCATCTTTTCTGAAAAAGTATGGAGTTCCTTACCGGGAGGATAGGTTTGTAACCCTTTCCTTACCGGTCTTGCGAGAAGTCTTTTGAGAAAAAAGATCAACTTTATTGAACCTTGGCATGGTACATATCCGGTCTTAGCGGATGATAAAATGGTTGTTCAACACCACTTTCTTCTTTTCTTCCCGACGAACTCTCTTCAAGAGCCTCTCCAAACGTTCTTCCTCCATGTCCACTCGGTTGCTGGGTGGTTCAACATGTCTGCGCATTGCAACTTTGGGCTGGTTTTCCGTCTGGCCCTTCGCTCTAGGCACCCTGCTGTGTTGGGGCTCATCACAGAGATGAGGGTCAAAGCCTACCACCTTCTCGCCTATAGAATTTGCATGGCTTGGGAACCTTCACCCCCAACCGCTCCTTGGACGGTCGATTATGTTTTCGCCCCTCATGTCCCAGCCTCTGGAACACTGACCGTCGTGAACCTTCCGGCTGGACGGCTTTGCCCTGCAGCTTTTTCTGGCCTTTGGGAATATCCGAGTCTTCATCCCTGCTGTGCACAGAGCGCACGTCCCCGTCGGGTATGACCTGAGTGTGGAGCTTGTGGGATCTGCTTAGCCTAGGCCAAAAAGGGCCTGCTCTTTCTAGCTCCCCGGCTAGATTTGTCAAGGTGACCGACTGTGAGGTACTGACCGGTTGAAACGACGGGGGATGCCCCAACGTGTTGGGAAGATTTGTATTTTGGCCCAAAGCATGGGGATACATCCCAGGGATGAAAAGAGTAAATCCCCCGGGTTGTTGGAAAATGGGCATAATTTATCCAAAGTTTTTGAGGGCCTGACCCGGGGCTGTTTGAGTAGTGAAGGTGGTGATCATGGGGGAGAAGAGAGAAAGTAATGATGTGATTCCTCCCGGGATAAGGGTAACTGTAACACCCTAATCCGTCCAGGTCTGCAGCCCCATTCAGACTAAAGTATTTAACTTGGTAATCGTAAAATTTAAAACTTTTCAAACACACTTTATTAATCTCAATAATATTTTTCACAACATATACAGTACGGAGTATTTAACAATATTGCGGAAGCGAATTTAATATTGACATATCATAAATTATTTCAAAACTTGTCACATCCATCCTGACAATCTCGCCCCATCTGCCGCCAGGATCACATTAATCTTTCTGTTTACCTGCGTGTAGCAAATAAAACACACTACACGCTCAGCGGTGAAGCTGAGTAAGCATATCTAAA